ACGAGGAAGGGACCGAAGACTCGGCGGATTCAGACACCGCCGCCGGTTCGGAGGCTGAGCGCGACGTCTCTCCTGCCATCAGCGAGGCGAACGGGCATCTGATCGGCCTGGCGGTGGAGCAGCAGGGGGACAGCGGCAGCGATCCGGACGACCTGCTGGTGTACGCGAGCACAGCGCACGAGCAGCGCTTCAGTCGCAAGCGCGTGAACATCTTCAGCAAGAACGGTACGGTCCGTGGCGTGAGGGACAAAGTGAGCGCTGGTCAAGTGCTCTTCAATAATCTCTCTAAACTCTACGGGGTGAGTACCGAAGCCAGAGTCCATGTTTAGGACTATCCACTCTTAAAAACAAAGCTTCCGGTTAGAACCAAAAAGGGGGGTTCAGCCTGATGCCACAGGAGAACCATTTTAAGTTGCACAAAGAACCTTTTCACTCTCAGGTTCTTTAGAGAACCATATATTTCCTGTTGCTTTAAAGAACCCATAAATGGTACCATGAGCAGTGCCACAAGGAACCATGTTCTCATAAGTTCTCAGGAGTCTTAAAAGTGATGCCACGAGAACCTTTTCCAGTCTCACAAAGAACCTTCGGGTTGCACGTTAGGGTTCACTTTAACCTGTTAAGGGATGATACCTTGAATAACCAACACACTGCTCCGAAGAACCTATAATGAAACATAAAGAACATATTTAAACTCCAAAGTACCATACAGCTCAACTCAAGAACCCTGTAAAACACACAGGAATAATGTTCTTTGCAGAAGTTATGGTGCTGTAAAGAACCACTGAAGTAAATAATAGCCTACTTTTTGGCACGGAGGCTTAAACTATCAACCGAAGGTATAGTGTCCACTGAAGGTATGTTTACAGGTGTCATTTTCGTCAATCTGAATGAATTCAGTCTGATTTCAAATTCTGAAAGTACTGTTTATATGTGCCGTGTAAACACTGCAATCCGATTCAAATATTCGTTCACATGTGCATTACACTGGCACCCTGTGCAGGGTGTACCCCGCCTTGTGCCCGATGCTTCCTGGTTCCCCCACGACCCTGAAAAGGAGTAAGCGGTAGAAGATGGATGGATGGATGGATGGATGTGCATTACATATCTTCCAAACAAACCTACTGCACAAGACATAAATAAACATACACACCACTGCACTGCGCATGTGCGCAAGGTATTTTTGAATCCGATTGAGAAAATAGTTTACATGGCTAATTTTTGTATTTCTATTTACCGGATGATTTCAGATCTACACCACTCCTTACAATCCAATCGAAAATTCATTCGGATTGAGGTGTCTACATGAAGGTATTTCAATCTGATTCAGCTATCACCATGATTAATAACTCATTACAGGGTTTAATATATGCTTGTGTGTGTGTGTGTGTGTGTGTGGAGAAAGTGTATTTATGTATTTGAATGATTTAGTTTTTAATGAAAAAGAATTAGATGTCATTTTGACAGAACTAAATGAAGTACACATAACTATGGCAGAACAGAAAGTATAGCTACATTTTGCTGGTTCATATCTACGATGAGTATTCATTCATTCATCATAGGTTCAAATTCAGCATCACCCGATGGTGCAGTTTTCCTGGGTTCGTCCAAGTTGAATAATATTGCCCTAACAAATATCCTGGTCATGTTTGTATAGCTAATGTTCTGACCTATGTATTTTTTGACACAAAAGATTCATTAAACCTACTTTTTTTTGTTACTTTTGAAGGGTCCCATTTTGTAGTCAGTTTCTCACAGAGTATTAGCTGCTCTAACAAATAAGCTAATTTATTTTCAAATGAAGATTTAGATTGGATCAGGATCATGGAGGGCTCAAATACCCACTAGAAGGCTAACTTCATTAAGGTGCATTCTGTATTATGTCTATATTTTTCCTATATTGTTTCTCTCCCCTTAACAGGCCAAACAGACCATGTCTGCGAAGAAGCTGCCTGCAGGAGTTTAAAGAAGTGCAGAGCAGAACACAGCAGCACATCTGGACAGGGGGTTGCATGAGGAGCCTCAGTAATCTGTTCTGAACATTGACCAGGGAGGGACTGCTTTAATCACTTTCCATTAACACATGCTTTAGGAAACTTTATTTAAGAACTGACATTTCCAGGTGCAGTTCTGCACTCCTTGAAAAAAATAAAGAATTTACAGAAGAGTCCACTGGATGTTTTTTATAGGGAATTACACAAAGGAAAGTCTGAGGTCTGGGATTATATGTTCAGAATTTTTGGTTCTAGTAAGGACTCTGGACTAACCGTCTTGTTTGTGCTTCTACTAGAACACCCAGACAGCAAGGCATTACAACCTGCTCTGATGTACAGCATGTGATCACACATGTCACATTTTATTGTGTTGGCTTCAACAGAAGGATGATTCTTTTGTGGTGAATCAAGTGCATACTTTCTTTTACATACATACAGAATTGGCAAGCTATTGGGATAAGCTCATATTCAAGGTGAACATTATCAAATGTTCATTGAAACTGGAATTAAACTACAGTAGGGGATGTTTCATCTCTAAAATAAAGTCCTTCAGCTGAACATTAAATGGTTAAAGAGCCATTACTTGTATGATGATCATTGTTTATTGCATTTGATCCTGAATTGTTAATTGCCTACGTACTCAATATTAGTTTGAATAATAATGTAAATATGCACTTTATATAAATATTAACTTTGTGGATTTTTATTATTTAGTAACAGAGATGATGGGAATGACACTGGTTCAGAGCCAGTCAGTTTTAGTTTTGTATGTTAATGAATTCTAAAATTAATTGTAACTATGAATGTCATGATTTTTTTCACTTTCCATTTTGTTTAAATACATTTTCTTCTGTAATTTTTAAAAAATAGAATGAGCAAAACAGTTTCTGACACTGTAGATTCAAAATGTCTGTTTCATTAAAAACTGATAAACAAAATAGGACATTTGATCTGGTTTTCTTTATTCTATTTGTGTGTAAAAAAAAAAAAAAGTTTGTGTTTACTACACATCCTTGAGGAACTGTGCAAGGTGACACACCTTCTGCACCGCCTCTACATGTACAAGTTAAATTATGCACAAGATCAGAAGGTCATACATCTCATTTGCCCCTCAATTATTTATCAGAGAGAGAGAGAGAGAGAGAGAGAGAGAGAGGCAGACAGACAGACTTATATGGAGATTATCTCATATGACGCAGTTTAGGATTAAGAGATGGTCTTGAAAAAAGGTAAAAAAAAAAAAAGTAGTTAAAGATCATGTGGTCAGGGGAAGGTAAGCATAAACTGTTAATGGTATGTAAGTATGTAAGTCAATTTAAAAAATAATAATTTAAAGATGGGAGCAATCAAACACAAGACATGGAAACTATTCATTTCAAAACAACTTTTTAGGAAGGTGCTTATAAATCCAGTAATAATATACTTGAACCTGAATATCAAAATCTTGTTACAAAAGAAGACAATACACTATAATACATTTTAATCACATGCTTATGGTGATCAGGTCTGGTTTATATAAAATAATATTAATAGTCAAGGCCTCAGGATGTTGGATGAATTGAAACCTGTCATATGCATAACATCTTTCTTTTTAACTGAATTTCAGAATAGTATTTATTCTGGAGTGGAGTATGGTGAATACCTGAATTGTTGTTGGGGCTTTTTTTCTTCTTCAAATTGTGTAAAGCATTAGTTCAAGTAATTTAGCTTGTAAGTCATCTTAAACTGGGTTTCAGCTAACCTTTATATTTAGATAATCAAAAGATGGTGAGAAGGGCGAAGACTCCATAGAGCAGAGTGCATGGGTACGCCACCAGCAGCTGCTGTCCACCCATATCCAGTGTAGAAGTAAAGATCTTAGATGCTGATAGACTGCACCAGCCAATCACAAACAAGGCCAGCAGTGTGCCCAAAATCCCTCTGGACAAACAAACAAATCATCTTTGTTATATAATCAAGATTTTTAATAAATTAATCTACTCAATGTGATTTCTTTCTGATGTTCGCATTAAAAATTTTCATGATCAATTCAGATCATATAGAACTGGCTGCATAGCGAGAAACTGTCCTTCTGAATACAGCAAATAATATTTTGATATAGGCACTATTATACACAGTGCACACAGTTATATTCATGAACATTAATATATGTGGGGGGAAAAGATTTTCATAGGTTTGTAGATACTCACTGTAGTGAATAAAAGACAGCGAAGGCAGAGAGAGCCACCATGGGGAGCAGGCAGTATCCTAATACACTAGCAACGCAGCCATAGTATATTGTGTATACACTCATTAAATTCAGCAGAATGTACATTCCCGCACAGCCCAGGGCACTGATACCATACACGTAGCCAAAGTGTACTTTTCCTGCCTGCAAAGAAAAGCACATGCCTACAAAATCCAAGGATTGATATAGCAATTAACACACTGTAAAAATTATACTCATAATGGCATAACCATTCCTCAGTCATAAGTCTACTTTTTATTAGTGATCAAATGATATGAAATGCATAATAAATCATTTATACCATCAAAAGAGTGGCTCCCAAAGCGATACAGAAAATAACAGGCCCAGTTAAATCTGTCTCATTCATGATGCTACCATCCGCGGGCTTCATCGGATTCAGCACAGTCAGAGTCTTCTGCCAGATGTGATCAAAGTTAATGCCCAATTCTGATGAGACACATGCACAGTAATTTCTCTTGTTTATCGATACAGGATCTCAGCTTACTCTCCCTTAAATATGAAATAATGTAATTCCATTCATCCATACTACTTCTCTTACAGAGAGTCATGGGGATCGCGGGGAACTCAGGGCACAAGGTGGGGGACACCCTAGACAGGGTGGCGAACCCATCATACACACGTAAACACAGGTTCACACACTACAGACAATTTGGAAATGCCAATGAGCCTACAATACATGTCTTGAACTGGGGAGGAAACCGGAGTACCCGAAGGAAAACCCTGAATCACAGAGAGAACACGCAAACTCTGCACACGCAGGGCCGAGGCAGGATTCAAACCTCCGACCCATGCAAGTGCAAGTCAAACATGCTAACCACTAAATCACAGTGCCTCCCATTTAATTCTAAAACAGTAATTATTCCAAAACATTACATTTGAACATCTGGGTGGATTACCCTCTAACAATGGAGGTTCTTCCTCAAAGGAGTCAGTGTGCTCAGCAGCCCCAGGAGAAGCTGCAGGTTGAAAGATCTCCCCAGTGTAAGGTGGATCCGTTGATTGGGCATAGGCGTCTGATGTAGGAGACGCATAAACTCTGCCGATTACAAGATAAACAACTGTAATAAACAACTACATGAATTTCTACAAATAGATATTCACAGTCATGAATTTTCAGCATAGTCAATACCAGGGATACTCTTACTCATCTTGGTAATGTGGACTGGTGTATGCTGTGTCATAGCCACATGACTCTTGGGTCTGATCATCTATGTAATATTCAGACTGGTAGAAGTCTTGATCAAACTGCTTCAACTCCCCCATGCTACACAATATAGCATAAAAGAAGACTGTGGTGACAATCTGCCGACAAGCACCAAACTACAACAAAGTAACTGCAACTATATGTAACATGTAACTATAAACATACATACTGATCTGTTTACCTTTAAAAAGTTCAGTAGAACAGGCCTGTACCGAGTGGCGTATCGTGGCAATGGTCAGCCTTCTGCCTACACAGCTGTTAGCTGTGCGCAACATGTATTTGAAGGGTTATTTATAGACAACTATATTTGCACATAGGACACAGACTGCTCTAAGAACACCAACAGTCCAAAGACTAGTGACAATGCTAGGAATTATATATATATAGTGTTTAGTTTTAGTGTCCTGTATGACAAATCTTTTCAAACTGTATAAGCAGAATTGGCAAGATGGATCTACTGTGTTCTATAGTACACTGTTATGATAGGACACTTTGGATAATTATGTATTTTAATAAGATTTTAAAAAAGAACTCTTCAGAAAACAAAATCCCATGAGAGATGAGATGATGACAGATTGCTAACAACATTTATAAAGAATTCCTATCTATTAATACTCTATATGGATCATTTATACCGTTAGTTACGCTTGTTACACTAATTTGATTGGATGAGCAGCGTTCCAAGAATGCTTATATCAGATATAACCGCACTGGGACGTTTCACTCTGCTCGTCTGTATTCACCACTTACAATGGCAATTCTAGCAACAGTCCCACTGAAACTGTTACTACAATAGTGTTAGAACATCATCAGCCGACATAGCAAATGAGATCTCTTTCATGAATATGAAAAATTTACGGTATGCATCATATTTAAGCATGAGTAAGAGTGCGGGTTTTCTGAATATCAGCATAGCTGTGAGCTTGTGCAGCACTTGTGCCTACAGCCGAATCACAGCTGTGCCGGTAATCACGAAAAGCACACTTTTGCTCGAGTGATATTGCTTGAATATGGTATAGTACATGCATTTTAAAACACAGTAGTCCCACCACCATAGCGACCATTTGGGGAAAGCAGTATGGGCTGAAGACTTATTTGCATTCCTAAGACAAAAAGTATTACTTTCATTTAGCATTTTAGGAACTAATTACTGATCATATTAGAGCATGCATGAAGCCAAATACATAATTTGTGGCTTTTGGAGTCCAGCTGATAACCCACTTCAGAAAAAAAAAACGCTTGTTGTTACAGCAAATCAATAGGACCAGCAAGGCTAACGAGGAAAAGCCAGCTAGAAGCTAGTGGATTACGAAGGAGTTCCATAACTTTTCAAAAGAAAACCTGTTTGCACTGAGGTGGAATAAATGAGATGAGATACACTATATGGCCGAAAGAATGTGGACACCTGACCATCATACCCATATCTGCTTGTTGAACATCCCATTCAAAATTTGGTCCCTCTGTTGCTTCTATACTAAACTTCTTCTGGGACAGCTTTGCACTATATTTGGAATGCAGCCATAGGAATTTCTGCCAATTCAACCATAAGAGCCGTAATGAGGTCGGGCGAGAAGATCTGGTGTAGTCTGTGTTCCAGTTCATTCCAAGTGTTCAGGCCAGTCGAGTTTTTACACTCCAACCTAAACAATGTTGTAATAGACTCTCTTTGTGGACAGGAGCACTGGAACGTTTGGGCCCCTTAGGTCCACTGAAGGGAAATCTTAAGGCAAACAGTAGAAAGAAGTCTTATACAATTGTGTACTTTCAACATTGTGGCCATATAGTCTTATCTAGAAAGTTGTTGTACTGTACTATGTATGATTGAAGCCTACCTACACTTCCTGGAAGGCCTCATTCCTGCAGTCTCATAAACAGCTAGCTAGTTACAGTGCAAACACTTTCACAATTGTAATAATTGTACATATTGTACATAATAAAATACGCCATGTTTCATACTTTTCAAATAAATGTTGTGTGCAACAACCAGTCATTGAATGTTTTCTGGCTGTGGGGCCAATCATCGGAGTGGAGGTGTAGGCCATGTTTTTAAGACTCTTCCTTGCACCCAAAATATCAATATCAAATCAAAATCATAATCCCATCAGAATGTTGGGCCTGACGAACAGGAGCAAGCAAATTTCACACACCTCTACATATCACTTTCTCGCTAAACAGAAGTGCACTCAGCAATGCAGGTTTCTCAGGGAGCTCATTTCCTACCCCCCCTGCTGAAGTTACATTCATGTATACAGTTTATATGGATACTATATACAAAAAACAATCACAGTATGTCAAAGGACAGTCTACATAGTAAAAAAAAAATCATAGGCCATATGTGGAAAAAGTCTTCTTTATTTAAAAAAAACACTGATAAAAACTTTTTTTTTTAAATTATGGTACTGGACACCATTAACAGTTCATATAAAAATATGTATAAAACATTATTAAAATATTAAGACAAATTAAATACCAAGATAAATAATTTGGTTACTAGATCACATCTGGAAAGAGCTGCTCTATTCATTTGATGACACACTTAACACAACCACCACCTGTCTTCTACACACAAATCAACACACAGAAAGAACAGAATCAGCTTGAAATCACCTCTGCAGTATAACGGTTTGGGTCAATATTTCTTTAAACTACTGCCAAGGCGTTCTTCTTCCCAGCACGTGGTTGGTTATTTTCTGTAAGAGATGACTCACATTAGCTTTAACAGAAACATGTCTGAACTTGTAACTGCATTGGGCGTGCTTAAAAGAAAAAACAAGTTTAAAACATTAGCGAGTAAACACCTTATTAAATAGCTGAGCATTGAGGCGGTAAGTGTGGTACTCCGCTTTCCTCCTTTCTTCCTCCTTCCTCTTCTGAACCTCTGGTAGCTGAGCATAGATCCTAATGGGTTACATACAAAGATGAGATCATGTTTTCAGGTTTTCTGAAAATGGTTCGTTTTAAAATGTAATAAAATTATATATGTTGGACATCCTCCATTTGATTCCACAACTGAGTGGACCTGGCTAACCACAAAAAAAAATTACTTTTCCCCCCAAAACATGATCATCATTTCTCTATCTGGCTCACTCAGTCCCACACACAATCCTACCTGCTGAATCTTTCTTTCCTGCCTACACAGCTGAGTGTGGAGAACAGCACAGAAACACCACATCAATTACTAACTCAGACAGTGTTTTAAACCAAGTTTGTGCATATTACTAAGAGCTTACCGCTTGGATCTCTGGATCCTCTCACTTCTGGGAATAACTCGCTTAGAGGGAAGAGGTGGAGGAGCTGGAGCTGGCAGAAAGGTGAATAATTAGGTTAAAATATGTATAAGACACTCAGCTTATAATAGAGTGTTGTTTAAGGTTTTGCTGCTTGGACAAGCAAATGAAACAAACCTGTTTTGGGCTGCTGCTCGGCTGAACAACGGTTGAAAAGCTCCTCTCTTTCTTTGTTGAAAACGGCTTGTATCTTTCTTTCCTCAACAAGCAGGCACAGTCTCTTCATCCGCTCCCGGGAACGGGAAACAAACTCTGGTCGATGCAACTCTAGCGCCTCCTGCAACATAAGCATTCACACAAAGACTACTTTTAACAACAAGGCAAGAAAACAAAAATAAATTACATTATGTTTTTATGGTTAGTTACCTATTATGGTTTTGAAACGTGCCCAATTTTGGTTTGGAGGTCTCATACAATACATTTACAAACACTAAACACTTTAATGTGCACATAATTTAACCTGCAGCATTGCCTTTTTTCCCCCAGTGACACAAACGACTCATTCAATGGTCCTTTCAGAGAGCATACTCTGCTCTGATTGGTCAGATGTCCCAGTCTGTTGGAAACACCCACTACCATAATGAGTTTCAGCTCCCTCTGTTAGCGAGCAGCAGATGAAGACCAGATCTGCGTTTTTTTGTTACAAACCTACATAGGTTTGTACAGGAAGTAAGTCTGGAATTACTAACGACTCGTTTCAGCTGTTCAGAATCAGTTTCAGCTGTTCAGAATCTTTTGGAAGTCAATAACTCTGTCATGCACTTTGATTTTTGAAACTTTGCAGACGTTTTTACATTCACAAAAAGCTCTATAACACAGTACATGAAAGGTAATATTTGAAAAACCATAATAGGTGCAGTTTAAATAAAATCTATGTCTAACGAATATGAGACACAAAGCAGACTACAAAATATCTTCACCGAAGTCCAATTATATACCAACACACCTGCAGGGAGAGACGAACCAGGGCAGAGGGTTTGCTACCGCAATCATTCTCCGAATATGCTTTTTGCTCAGAGGGCTTCTCTCTTTCCACTTGAATGTGTCGTTCTCTAAACGGCTCTCTCCATGGCTGCGTCTTGGTGTAGGGCTCGAACCAGGCTTGGCCTTCAGACTGCCCTGCATCTGTTTGGGGCTTATTCTCCTTCCGTGCATCCCACTTCAGTTCATCAGTAGTAACAAACCATGACAAACCTTACAGAAGAGAAAGAAAAAAAAAAAAAAAACAGTGTGGGCCCATGTGAGAGTAAACAGCTTAACTTGCCATCTCCTGCTTCACAAACTTACCATTTGGGTAGAAGGTTTGTTTGTTGAAGACCTGTCTCCTGAGCACTGGTTGGG